TGCAGAAGGTGCGGAAGACTCTACAACTCTCCCCTGTAAAAAATTTTCCTCCCATGGTGCTGTTAGCAGCCTGGTAGTGGGGCGAGAATTTGCAGGCCACTCGACCGTGCTTTCCGCTGCGAGCGCCCATCGTGGCACTAACAGCCCAGAAAATGACCTTACGAGAGTTCACCATCTTCTGCAAAGCCGGTCCTGACAATCACGTCCACTCGGACCTCATAGTCTCTTTCTCTTTCGGGGCCAAGGAGCTATGGGTATTGGAAGGCCATCTCTTCTAAACAAGGGTGGCTGGTCGCGGAGGTTTTCCTCCCTGAAGGCAAGCTGCTCGACAGCCTCTGATTCCTTCGAAGGGTTTTTCCCTGCCGCCTCCCCGGCGCCATTTTCATCGCTTGGTTACTGGAGGATGGACTGCGGCAGCAGCCTTGGCGAGGGTGCGAGAGAATTCTGACCAGGAAAACCAAGGGGATGACCAGGCGTCTATGCAATTGTGCGATTGGACGACAGCAGGATCAGCCAACTTGCCAGGCAACCCCAGTGCGGTTCGTCTATTGGACCATTCAGGAATGAGAGCACATGTAAATGCCACCGCCCAAGAGGGCTGAGATGTGCATCAAGCTTTGCTGTGGCTGAACCATCGGAGTGGGGTTTGGGAGGCCATGAGCAGCTTCGAGGAACTATCCGTTGCACTCCCAAGCCTTTAATTACATATTGGAAAAGGACATTGTTGACAGGGCCACCTGCTACAGTCACCATCTCCAAGTTGTAGAAGGCAAGCTTTGGTTGCTTACCGTGTTATTGGTATCTCCGGGGTAGCTGAGTTGGGGATATTTGCGGAAGAAAAAAAAAACCCTTTGAACCACGTCCAGCTGCAGTATACAACACCCAATAGCTGGCACTGGTAGTCTCGAGTTAAAAGAGTAGAGAGTGTCGAGGCAGAGTGAGGAGTCACCGAGCTGGCGTGCCAAAGCTGAAAAAGGCACCAACATTTCTGGCCAACTCCAGCCGCGCACGTTGTGGCTGCTGCGCAGATCCACAACTACTAGGTTTGGCTGGCTGTCAGAGATCTCCGATGATCCAAGGGCAACGCTTACCAGTGCGTCGGAACCAGGCCCGAAGGAGAATAAAAAGGACCCTAGTTCGCCATGGCGTGGACTTTGACCCGTACCCGCGTCTCGATCAGCATCAAGATGATATCCTCTGTGACCTTGAGATGACTCGGTCCGTCCCTCTGCCCGACAACAAGGATCATCCCAGCAGCGTACGACGAAGCTTGACCGACGCTACAGGAGCATCTGCATCTGCGCACAGCAAACGTAAGCCCCCGGAGCGAAACCATGCTCTCAACTGTTGCAACCAAAGCTAATTCAACCAGGCTATAGGTCCACTACTACCATGACTCCAGAACAGCTTGCGCGGAAGCGGGCCAACGACCGCAACGCTCAAAGAGCCATTCGCACTCGGAGAAAGGCCCAGGTTTCGCAGCTCGAGGCCGAGCTGGAAGCACTCAAGAACAAGCCGTACGCGTGTTGTCGCAAGTTGCTTCAGCGGAACCTGGAACTAGAGTGCGAACTGGCCATGATGAAAGGGAGCCCGCTTCCATGCCCGTCGCGCGCCACACCTACAGGCCATGCAGACGAAGGCACGACAGCCGCCCAGTCACCCGAAATGCACGGCGTCAACGGCCAGTCCTATCCCAATGGCGAGGACTCGGCAAGGACCCTGCTGCTTTCCCCCTCGGGCGGCTGTGACTCGTCTAGCGAGACAACCAGTCCAGTCGCCGTGATTTACCCCAAGTGCGGCCTGGAGAGCAGAGACGCGCCTCTGCAAGGCCCAATCGCCGCCGTCTATGCCGCAGAAAGTGTTGCCATGGCCAACCCGGCCCTCGTAACCTGCGGACAGGTCTGCCCAACGATACCAAGTCCTTCCATACCAGACTTGTGGCCTACGGGGACGACGTACGCAAACGACGGCGGCATCATGGACGGCCTATACCCTGGAGGTTCAGAATATCGTGCCAACAGCGAGCACAATCCCTTCACATTTTCCGCAATGATTCACATCAGCAACACGCATACGTCTTGTGTTGGCACATCGCCTGGTGCGTGCCAACAACAGCAGAGTGCGTTATAGCTGAGCGCAATGGTTAACGAAATTTGTATGGTGTAACGATTATGTTGTACCTTTTACTCAAAAGCGGCCGTAGGCATCAAAGGGGTCTTTGGAGATTGAGGCAATGTATAATAGGAAGCATGCCAATGTACTACAAACCAGAGATGTGGAAATGTAATTTTGCAACCCAGATTGACAGGCTGGTTGCAGATTGCCAGCCCAGGCACTTTGGCGTAAGGATGGTGGCTTGGGGAAATAGCAACACCACGCTGGCCGGGACCGGCGTCTAGTCTGAAAACAAAACCCTCGGCGGCATTTTCTTCCAAGCGAAAGCTGAGGCCGTACAGGATCCTAGGGGAACCGCCGTCAGAGAGGATATGGGCATTGCCAGAGCGAAACTCATCCTCGGTTGCGTTTTGGCAATGCTGCTGGTGCCGACGAGATTGTAAGGCGGGCTTATATGAATGCTATTAAGGAACATAGTGTGAACAGGGTCTGCAAGCTCACGGGACGGATCGGTGTTGTTGACAACCAGGTGAAAGCCTTGGGCAGAGGACTTTGCTGGATAGTTGCTGCCGGCCTGGCTGACTATGGAAGAAGCGGCCGCAAGGCTAGCGAGGATGAGAGCAGCAGCACACATCATGTTGAATGATGTTGTGTACAAGGTTTCAAAAATGGAGCAAGATGCGAGCTCTGTTTTGGTGGTTTCAAATGACAGACTGCAAGAAGAATTGTGTGTTTGGAGCGGATGACAGATGAGAATGATACACGACGAGAACTTGGAGAAGATGGCATGGAAGACGCTCCAGTGGTTGTAATACGTCTGGTGTCATTAAGTTCGCGCTTGACAAAAGTATTACGTACTGTAACATGAACCTTTGCCATGATAAAAAAAACATCGCGATTAGCCCTCTCGGCCGTCAGCACATTGGGTAGTCGCGTTCGACTCGACCGTCATCAGTGCTGGTGCCACAACCTTCAACTGTTCCTTCTCTACCCAAATTTGTAATGCAAAGATGGAAATCGAGCCCACGATTGCAACACTTTTGACTCCGCGCGGTAATGGTTGGAGGAGCTCGGGCTGCCCAAGAAAGTGCAGACTTGAAATGCTCGAGACGATTACAAAATCGGCGCGACTTCTGTATGGTCTGGTCCATGCGCGGTACATTGTGACAACTTGTGGCCTGTCAAAGATGGTGCGTAGCTAACCCGACTTGACAAAGTCCCAAGTCTCGTCCCCAGCTCGACAAATACAAAAAGGCAGAGTTTGGCAAATGCCGGCGCGTATGTGCCGCTCGCATCCACTTCTCCCGATGGGACTCAGTGTCCCCCCGTGAGTGTGGAGCACCACGGGGCCGACTTCAAGAACCCCCCCAAGTACTGCACTGTACTACCACCTCACACTTCTGTTTTGCTGTCCATTTTCACTCCAGCATATCCATTCTCCTTCAACCTGTCCGACTAAATAATTTTATAATATCACAACCAGGGGTAAAACCAGCTACGGATACGATCCCTGTCACGCTGACGTCAACTAGTTGCCTTATCGACGGCGACTGATACATGGGCAACCCCTTTAGATACTTGGGCACCCTACAGAGGGTATCCCCATGAGTCCACACTTTTCTGCAGAGACTTGTCTGAACGTCTCGTCCACGCGGACTCTCTAGCTTCCTTCGGAACCAAACGGCTATGGTATTGGAAGGTCCTTCTAAACAACGGTGGGCTGTTCTCGGAGGGTTTTCTCCTCGAAAGCAACTGTCAGGCAGTCTCTGATTCCTTCAAAGGGTTTTCTTTTTTCTACTATGATGGTTTCAAGTATGAGCCTCACACACCTCATTTGACTGAATCCTCCACGTGAGGTATGGGCTGAGAAGCTCACTATTACATACCCATGTATCCTCTTTGGAGGGACGACCATGCTAATATAGAAGGCGTTGAAGTTTCCCAGCTCTTAATCGGGCTCCCAACCTGCTCAAATCTACTTAGTACTCCCTTATCTATGATGTGTTTCCCCGGCTCCCAGTTCGTGGTGGCATCAGACCATTTCACCAGAAAGTGTGTTGCCTCCACCAAGTAAGTAGGCAATCCATTCGGTAAATGCCGAGATAGACACTTGGGTAGGCAGCTTAGATGGACTGCTGCACTATAGCTGGAGATGGTATCGCCGAGCTGTCACCGCTCATCCCCCTTCTATTCGTCGCCGCGTTTGTCAAGGGCCTTGAGGCTGTGCCGTTAGTACCAGGGTGGGATGACGGAGCCAAATGCATAGTTAGGCCGCCTAAAAAAATGAATCTACTAGCTAACTGCTAACAGCTGCGGGGCTGTGAGTTATAGGGGGAAGAATTCTGGGGAATGTAGATGACGATGAATCTAGCTCGATGGGGAAATGGCTTAATATGGCAAGGTTTGCAGCTGAGAATACCTAAGTTTTCGGCAGCTGTCGTGTTCAAGACAAGCTTCATGGCGCATCCGTCTTGGAAATATCTGAGCTACTCTGATCAGTCGAGGCGGCCCTGGAAGCACTCTCAAAAGGTTATTGCCCAGCTGAAATGAGCTGAAATAAGCTGAAATGAACTCTTGGAGTCAACTTTTTTTTTTTTTTTTTTGAAATCAAGCAGCTGAAACATATAATCACGGCTAAAGCGGCAGGCGAATACCGAGTTATTCAAGTCGCCCTAACAGCACCTTCATTTCGTAATTTCATGGCCAAAACCTTAATAACTCGTCTTGCCAAAATGCCCCCAGGCCAGCAAGAGCCGAGACTCTTCATAGATCAAGTACTCTATGACAGCTGAGACAAGTGGCTGTCGTAAAAGGAAGCTATTGATACGTACCCCATTGATTATAACTAGAGATATAGAGGTCTCGGGAAAAGTATATAAACGACTCCCGTATCACCTCTTATTTGACTAGCTGCTCTGTCGACAGGACAACTTTAAACATATAAAATATCTTTGAAGTCTTCTACTTGAGGTTCCAAAATCTAATCGCAATCATGAAGTATATGACTGCTGTTCTTGCTCTAGGCGCTGTTGCCGTTGCTGCTCCAGCCGAGGTTGAGAAGCGCCAAAACACGTGCCCAAATACAGCTGTTAATGTATGCTGCAATACTGTCGCCGGCATAAATCTTCTCTGTCAGACTATACAAGTTGGGCAGTCCTGCTCGGGTACTTCCTACTGCTGCGAGAACGGCGCATCTGTAAGTATAGACCTTTTCTTATATAGTTATGCAAAATACTAACTATTTCTCTAGACAGGTGGCCTCATCAATTTGAACCTTGCCAACTGTGTCAAGATTCTCTAAATACCAGCTTTATGAACCCTCGCTTGGATGGATCTTGTGGGGAAGTGATTGAGACGTGTTGTAGCTGTTAGTGGCAGAGGATTCGAGAGTATTTTCTGCTGGCTTTCCCGAGTTTAAGGGGTCCTTACACTCTTTTACGTTCTTAAATAGAGGCTTGAGCTGGTGCAGCAGTTCATCCGTCAAGATCAAGGCCTTAATTAAGGCAGCAGTATTGCAACAAGTATTCTAGTTACTATAGTATGATCCCACTCTTCTATATAGGAAATGAAGAGTCTCTCATTTTGTGTAAGATGCCCCAAAGTAATTACACTATGTGACGCTGTTATGAGCTCGGCTTATATGACCTAATTAATTAAGCAGACTGTTGTTGAACGTCACAGCAGAACACAGATGCAAGAGACTGTGTTGATTCTACGAGGGAACTGCGACGGCCCGTACCATCCTTAGTTAGGATACCAGCGCAGGCTTATTAACCATCATGAAAAAGCACTCATTACATACCGGTATTTTCAATATTCGACTATATTTGGCATTATGCACCAGTCTATCAATTTATAAGCACTGGGGAGTGCACAAAGCCCCAATCCCTTGCCCTATCTTCATGTTTGAGCTCACCTTAGTTGTGAATCGAATTACTAGATATAACGGCGTCTCGAACATGATGGAAGAGAGTTTCTTATCTCGAGATATGGCAACATATGACAATCCCGGAGCATGACCTTCCCGTTTTAGGTTCATGACTACTTGTTTCAGTGTCAATACTTGCGCTTTGTGTACCGTGATAGCGTTAATGTCGGATAAGGCTGCCTCTGTTAGTTGAACAAGCAGACTTGACGTAATTGCTAGATGTCATAAAATCATCGATATCAGTAGTTGAGAGGCTGGCCAGCCACCCTGCTTTCATCAGGTGGCTGGGAAGTCTTCTAAATTAAAGATAAAAGACATGAACCCTTCTAAAGGATAGAAAAAACAAGAAGAACAATAATTTTTTATTCAAGAAATAAGCTTAGTTAACAATGAGTCTCATAACGTGACAGTTGTGGACTGGCTGAGATAACAGTGTTATAAGGACTCGCACAATGGACAGTATATGCACGCAGATTAAAGATGCAGGCTTCAGTAACTGAAAAGCTCAAATTAATTATGATGATTCTAAAGCGCCCAAGACCACGGAGTCGCATCCTTCAGACAACAAAACACGGTTCCTGATCTAGCCAGCTCCAGAACTTGCCACCTGGCATTGGTAAGAGACGTAGCAATCGTGCTCCGGAAAGCCGCTGACTTCAAAGTATCAGGACCCCAGGTATTCACAGCAATGATATTCCCAAGTCTTCTCAGTCTGTTAAGCGGCAGCTCTAGCCCAGAGTTTGAGAAGGATTTCTGTTCAGTTCGGTAGCAGGCCTGAACCGAGTTTTGTAGACAGAAGATACGTTGGTCAAACTCGACCCAACTAATGGATTCGATGCTTGTTCGACGCTCTGATAACCAAAGGTCTAGAAGTTCGAGATGGGACTTCCGCACGTGCTGCCTATAGATGTCTCCATAATCTAGAAACAAAGACCCCCCGTCCCGTAAGCGACGAGTTTTAGGACCGTCATCAACTGCCTCGGAAAATTCGAATCCCCTTTGTTCGTATTTTATAAGTGCGGAGGCAACTCGTTTTGGAACCTCTCCACTAGATTGCTTCCAAAATATGCTCTGCTTCTCACTCGCTTCCGGATAGTACATATGGCTGGCACACCAACCACCCACGAAGCACTGAACATGGCTGCCGTAGAATTCTTTAAGGAAAGACATGGCACTCCGAACATGAGAGTAGCACATTCCTATCATGAGCTGGACACCTTGTTTTTCGTTCTTTGTCTGGATACAGCCTTGCAAAACGCTAAACGAGTTTCCCACGGAATCTTTGTAGAAAGCCCAACTCGGCGCGGCTTCCAATTTCGCAGCCTCCAATTTCAGTCGATGCGACGAATATGTAATTTTGAAGGCTTGGGAAGTTGACATTTTCTGCCTCACGCTACGAAACGCGAGGACAACTTCATGTAACGCTTCTCCAAGCAGAGCATCGGCACTATGATGGTCCAGAGTGTCTATCCAAGACCACAGTGCTTCAAGAACTCCTCGACTGACATGTGCTTCTCCCTTCTCTCGAAGTGTTTCAACGATTTTGTCCCCCTCAGGCTCCCAGGTCACCCCACAAAGGCTCAATGCTTGTACCATATCGGCCACGGACTCTTTATATCCGGGTACGTAGAAGTCCCAGTCTGATGATTTCCTGGCAGAGCCTGGAACAAAATAGTCGAGCCCACGAGAGCCGCTGAAGATTGCTCCGGTGTCGAACATAACTGACATCAGCGTGAGAGGATACTTAAATGTGCGAGAGAGATAGTGCACAGGGTTTGCCCTCTTTTCGTAGCAACTCTTCAGAACTGCGCTGTATGGAAACGCCTCTTGCAGAGCTAACGCATCACTGATGCTAAGCTTGTCCATAATAGTTTGAATCTGGTCGGATTTGTGATTGGATGCCATGATCAATGATATTTCTGCTGACTTATTCTGGTCCTGATTTGAATGTTGCCTTTGTGGCCTGTGTCCATCTTTTTGGACTTCACATCATTTATAGTTACCACTAGACATTGGAAATTTTGCCTCAGTGTTCTCCTAGTAGAGGCTTTATTTAAGCGGAGACGTGCTAGTAACCATTGCAATAGTGAATTGTGGTAACGTTCTCAGATTGGTTTTACTGTGTACAAGTTACTTCTAACGCCAGGTAGTGAGTTTACCGCCAATGAGATTCGCAGCTCATATTACCAGTAGGACCGTGGTGGTGTAAGGCAAAATACTAGCAGCATCGCTTATTTAGGAAGTTCAAAATTGGGGTCGGCAGGAACGGTTCATTGTGCCCTACCAGTATTGAGCGCTACAGACGATCCTGGTTACTAGACGCGCGTACACTACGCTACCAGTCATTAGATTCTTTCTAATCCCGTCTCAGCATTACCGGTAGTACGTACCGGTAATAACCATGTTACTGGTGGCATCAAAATAGACATCCCGCAGGTGCCAGTAATTTAGACTCCCGTAGTGGGCGTTCGCAGTAACTTGGCGCTCTGATTACTAGTACCCTGATGGTACCAGTAACTTAGTCGGTACGGTTAATAGTACCCTGGTGGCACCGCTAACTCCGCCGCCTTCGTTACTGGCAGCTAGTACGCTTCCCCCCTCTGCTACTAGAAACCGGGTCGTGTTGGTCTGTGGATTACTACCAACCACCCACAGTCCACTTATTTATTTATTTATTTATTTA